ATTTGAAAAGGCATATAAATGCAAAGGGGAATGGTAATACTAATTATTAGTGCGTGTATTTTCGATGTGATTTAAATATGTCAATGGTACCCATTAATTAGAATAACATGTATATGGTTTTTATACGAAATTTTACACCATTATAAATTTATGAGTATGTTTAAAAAAAAAAATTTTAAACAGTTCACCACCTTGAGGGCCATGACCCTGCTCGGACAGAGATTACTGTGGCTTGGACTGTCGTCTCTGAGGAGCTTTCTCGGTCTTCTGCAACAGAAACTTCTGCTTTTTAACTCTGCTCTCGACCCTCCTCACCTTCCAGTTGTTTAACAATTTTCTGTTTCCTCGTATGTTATCTTTTTTCCCAAACAGATGGCCCATTGAAGATCTGGGGCAAATAAAGTTGGAAACATTAGGGATCATAACGGCCTTCCGGCTGGGATTTGCAGTATAATTCTCAGCTTCTCTGAGAAAGAAGAGAAAATCCCACAAAGATTTATGGGTAATACTCTTGCTTTGTCTATTTTTGTCTCTTCCCCCAATCAAGGCTTCCCTTGTTTCCATCCTTGTTTTCAGTGGCCTCCTTTGGAAAAAGAAATTATTAATACTGTGCTCTACTTCCTTAGATGCCTTTCCTTGGGAAAAAGGTATATATGCCTCACCCCATATTGTTGGACGTTATGGTTTAGATATGCTTGGCGATGCGTTGTAGTGTATAATATGTATGCAAAAAAGAAGTTGTCTTTCTCAAAGATGCGACAATATGGCTAACTTAAATACTTTGGATTCTACAGAAAATCCAAGCCAAAAGCGCCTAACTTTGTCAAGTGAAATGGATGCTGGTGCTTCTGTTGATAGGATTAGCAGTTTGCCCGATTCAGTTCTCTGTTACATTCTTTCTTTTTTGCCAACAACAAAATATGCTGTGGGAACAAGTATTTTATCTAAAAGATGGAAATTCCTGTGGACTGGAGTCCCCTACCTTCTTTTCGATGATGATCGCGTTCGTAAAAGCCCAGAAAGAGTGAGAAAATTTGAGCAATTTGTTAATAAGGTTCTGCTTCTAAGTACTGTGCAGAATATACTCAAGTTCCGTCTTTGTTGTGGAAATGAACTCATTGAGCCATTCTATGTCAATGCATGGATCAGCACTGCAATTATCCGGAATGTCCGAGTGCTGAAAGTTGTAGTTTTTTATTATCGTCGTGCTGATGTTGTCATTGAATTGCCTAGTTGCCTATTTACTTGCAGAACATTAGAGGATCTTGAATTGTGGGATAATCTAGACATCAATACACCAAATTTGGTTTGTCTTCCTAGACTAAAACGTCTAACGCTTTCTTACGTTCAATACAGAAATGATGAATCCGTCGGTAAGCTCATATCTGGCTGTCCAATACTAGAATTCCTGGATATTTCCAGATACGGCTTTGATAATGTGACAGTTTTTGTAATATCTTCACCTTCACTGAAACAACTCCGTTTTCGTGGTAACGATGACTTTCCTGAAAATCTTCACTACAAGGTTGCTATAAATACCCCAGCACTAGAGTCCCTTGATTATTCCAATCACATATGGCAGCACATTGACGTCAACTTTCAGAACATTACCTCTTTAGTTAGAGCAAAAATTGATGTTGAGGCTTTTCCTGGTGATGATCCACCTCAAAGTGGTTTTTGCAATTCACTTGTGGAACTGGTTCAGGCACTACACGGTGTAAAGATTCTCACTTTGTCACAGGAGACAATGAAGGTAAGTTACCAGTTCTTTCTCTTAATGTTGAGGACAGTGTACCAGCTTCTGTTGTAAACTTACTGCAAAATTATCGTGTCAGGAGCCTACGCGTTATATTCACTAGGCTTTGATGTTCGTAGTCGTCTATGTTTCCCAATGTCTTGTGATTTATTCGCTAAATTAAATATTGTAGCTAAATGCACAGATCAAGTTAAATAAGCGGGCTAGCTGCGAGCTAAATGATGTTTTATGTAGGCTCTGAGCTATGCCACCACCCGCTTGTCAACAAGGAGATTTGAAGGACTAACCAAATTGGTAGTAAGAGCTGGATGCTGTGAATGGACTTGCCTACAGGATTTGGTTGAAGTGGCAGTAAATTTAGAAGTTCTTGATTTCACAAAGGCAATCAACTTAGATGCTTTTGATATGCATAAGGTTAGTTTGGAATGAGAAAATTACCCCGAGGAAAAGGATGAATCTTTGTTATGCTTTCTTTTTCAAATGTGTATAGATGTTTTGAAGAGTTGCTTTTGTGGTAATTAGAATTGGCATAGAGAACACACTACAGAGTCATGCTGGAGGGATCCCATAGAAGTTCCCAGATGCTTGATAACGAGCCTGAAACAAATTTCATTTGAAGAACTTGAAGGCTTTGAAGATGAGCTTGCAATGATAGGCTACATTCTGAAGCATGGTAGCGTTCTAAACCGAATGCATCTAAGTTCTAAAGTCGGCGGCTTGAGCACAAAATTTCAGCTTACTCAGAAGGTACTACTGTTCCCTAGAAGATCCCCCACATGTCAAATTGCATTTTGCGGCAAGCTGGACCACGGTCCCTTTTCAGCAAGTCATAGTCCAATGGGGGAAACATGAGGTGAAGTTAAATTTTGACTCTTCTGATGCAGAATATTTTTAAATTGGAAGGAATGAGAATTTAAGAAGAAGTTGCATTTTTTTTCAAAGATATTTGTGACAATTTCAAATTTCTAAGCTGGAAACTGCTGCGGGAAATATGTTTTTCATCGAAGATTGTTTCAAATGCTGATATACGAAAATGGGATATCAATGTGCAAATGTAAGATGGACAAAAAGGAAAGTTAATTGGCCAATTTTTACTGTCTTTTTGAACCTAGGAAGCAAAACTTCTTCTTAAGCATGTCCTGAATGGGTTTTAATCTTTGATAGATAGCCATCCTTATTTTCTTTTAATGGTCAAGCTTTACTCTTTCAAAACCGTAAATCTACAAGTCTCTTGAATGGTGCATTCTTCTATATCCAATTCTTTGGTTGCATGTGGCTGAATTAGACAACTGAGAAATTGAACTGGGATTTCTGTTCTTCTTGCCAATGTTCTGAAATCATTCTTGCTTTCATCTCCTAGTCTTATTCGTATGAAGCCAGCATGCGATACCTTTTTTTTTTCTTTGGCAGAAAATGAAGCAACATTGGTTGATTGGTGCAGTAAGGATCATATCCGGTGCTTATAACTTTCACCTACAATGAAAGATTCTGGATGAAGCTGGGTTGGAAGAATGTGGATGAAGCTTTTTGTACAAACTTTTTGCCAATGTTTGGGATATCTTTTTGTAGCAGAAAGTGAGGAGGCTGAAGCAAAACTCTTAACCTTGTCATTGCAGAAAGTATGAATTTTATTATCAGTATGGAAACTCTTAATGGTAGTGTAAAGGCCTAAAACTTAACTTCGGCAACAAAAGTGACCGTTGTTGGCAAGGTGACTGGAATCGAAGCCATCCAAACTTTTTGTAACATTAAAAAAGAAAAAAAATAGTATTGTTGGTTATAAATGCGAATTCCTGTTTTAAATCTTTTCTCATGAAAATAACAAGTTGAAAACAGAAGGGCACATGCAATTCTAAGATTGGAGTCGAAAGAAAATTTTCCACTTTCATCAAAATTATTACTCACTAGTCCAGAAATTCAATAATTTGAGGGGGTGGCATCTTGTTCTATCAATTTGAGACTATTATTTTCCCCATGCCTTAGCATGGTTTATTTATTGTGAATTTGTACAATCATGAATAATTTAAATAAAAAAATTTAGAAATGATCGTACACATTCATTTATATTAATTTAGAAAATTAATGTGTTTTAAATGTTTATCTATCATACTAATTTTTAAAAACTTCTTTACATATTTTACTATAATATAGAAGTATTCATCAAATATTGTAATGCATGTCAAAAAAATCGATAAATATTATTGTTTTTTAATAGACATTCTTTTAGATAATTAAAATTTTTATAATGACCATAAACCTAGAACTACATATTTATACTTAATTAAGTACAAAAGATCCAACAATTTATTTTCTTCATCAACAAATATTTAGTAACCAATAATATTGGTAAATCTATCCATATAACAGTTAAAATTTTTTTATTATGCTAAGCTAATCCATATGATTAAAAACCATACGAGTTCAGCAAAAGAGATGATATTGTGGGAAGAGAGTGGAACTATAACAACAAATAATTCAAATTTATTTAAAAAGATAAAATTATTAGAGGAGTGAGAAGCTGTAATAAAACTAAGAATTAATCTTTTCTATACTGTCAGTGTGTACATATACGGATGGATTTAGATGCGTGTTATATTATCTCATCTTGAATTTGAATATCAAATTTTGCATATATGGTGTGCATCTAGATCAATTAATGTATACACTAACATCGCATAAAAGATTTACTTTAAAACTAATTATAAGAGAGTCGGATACAAATATGGGCAAAACGTATACAAATATGGATAAAACGTCTATTAAATCTTTTCATTTACTTTAAAACTAATTATAAAAGAGTTGGATACAAATATGGGCAAAACGTATACAAATATGGATAAAACATCCATTAAATCTTTTCATTTACTTTAAAACTAATTATAAGAGAGCCGGATACAAATATGGGCAAAATGTATACAAATATGGATAAAACGTTCATTAAATCTTTTCATTTACTTTAAAATTAATTATAAAAGAGTCGGATACAAATATGGATAAAACGTCTATTAAATCTTTTCATTTACTTTAAAACTAATTATAAAAGAGTCGGATACAAATATGGGCAAAACGTATACAAATATGGATAAAACGTCCATTAAATCTTTTCATTTACTTTAAAACTAATTATAAAAGAGTCGGATACAAATATGGACAAAACGTATACAAATATGGATAAAACGTCCATTAAATCTTTTCATTTACTTTAAAACTAATTATAAAAGATAATAATTAAGCAATCCCTTGGCTTTCAACTATAAATTTGCATACAGAACTGAGAGACTCATTCCTGAGTTCACTTGTTGAAAACTCATGGGAGATAAGCAGATGAAAGGTCGGGAAAAAATTGAGATGAAAAAGATAGAAAAGGAGGATGATCTGTATGCTACTTTTTACAAACTAAGAGATGAGCTTTTCATGGAAGCAAGTGAACTTTGCACAACATGCAAAGTTGACATTGGAGTCATAATTTTTTCTCCAACTGGTGAGCCACACTCTTTCTTCCATCCAAATGCAGACAAAGTTTTCAATCGATTTCTGGGGAGAGACATGCCTAGGGACGATGCAGATCAACTTGCTGAGGCCCTTGCTCGAGCTAGAGTTGAACAGCTCGAGCAACAACTTCATGAGCTTGAAGTTCAACAAGAGATTGAAGAAGAACGAGCCAAGAAGTTGGATGAACTTTTTGCCCAGGATGGCATTGTTGGTTGGCCTGGGGTGCCAATTGATCAAATGGACATGGAAATGGTAACAAATCTGGAGGCAAAGATAGACAATCTGCTTCTCCAATTGGAGGAACATGCCAAGAAGTTGACAGAAGAGGCTTCTTCATCAAATGTTCCCCCCAGCAAGATTTGATTCTTAGTCTAATCTTCTGGATACATTTGTGGTGGGATCAAAATAAGCATAGCCACATTTCTTTCCCTTCTGTTGGATCAAAATAAACATAGCCGCATTTCTTTCCCTTCTGTTCACCCCATCATTAGTGTTATTATTATTGCTATTACTATTATTGTTGATGTAGCTTATGCACTTTTTACCGAAAATATATCTGAATGCAGTTTCTGACTCAGCTGCATTTTTCTTGTTACCAGCTTGGCTGCATCATATTTTAAAAGACTTAAAGACACTAGCATCAAAGATATTCACATTTAACCTCTTACAGCAAGCCATTAATAACAGCACAAAAAAAAATTAAAAATCAAAACTTGTGTAGCCAAAAAAAAAAGAACCACCTTCAGATTTTTTACCTGCAACGTATAATTGAAACTTTCCAAGCATTAAGAGAAAAAGGGACAGCAACAAATCCTAATCCAAAACTTAATTCATATTTTTGGACTGGTGTGATATCAAGTGTTCCTCTTTTCATCAATATAATTTCATGGTAGAATTCTTTTTCATAAACTTGAAGAATTCAGAACGAAAAACACAACTCAAGAGGAAGTAAACCGTATCAGAGAAAAAAAGGGCTTTTGATGAAGACTTTGAAGGGATGGATCCGTTAGTGATCTGGGCTTCTAGGAATCTGGATAGCGGTGACAAGAAGTTTGATTGGACGAGGAAGACAGATTCAAAGGCTTATCCTTAATTTCAGTAAAAAGATTCCTAGTTTCTTTCTTTCTTAATGAAAAGACAGGCTATTATTTGGAATAATTACTGTAGCACTTTTTGTGGTATGATGTATGTGAGACAAAAAGGTGATTGAAAATATAAAAAGGTGGGTTGAAAAATGTATTTATGATGCAAGCGAAATATTATTTGAGATAATGAAACTATCCAAACAAACCAATTTTTTCTTTGTGTGGAAGAAAGTAATAAGTTGCTAAAAAGAAAAGAATAACTATTAGCAAATTGGACAAATTCTCCGATTAATTTTCACAAGAGTTTTATCTGCAAGTAATTTATTTATTTATTATTATTATTTTTCAAATATCAACTTCAATATATAGCAAGTAATTTATTTGGTTTGCAGACTTCTTGTAGTTACTAGTTAGGGATAGTTTTTGACCAGTCAAGTCAAATATTTGTACCAAGTTTCTTACGCCAAATGCAAGTAGAGATCAAACTTTTTCTTGCCAACCAAATCTACATAACAGTGACTTTTACTTTTCGTCTTGTTTTGGATAGGTGATGGGAAAGTGTGATGTATATACGAGATAAAAATAGTGATTAAAATATATATTTATGAAAAGAAAGTAAAAAATTTGTAATAGAAAATTGCAATCCAAATACCACCTTACTTTCTCACGTAATTTTCCTTCCATTCAATCATAGCAATGTTTGTTTAAAATTCTGTTCATACAAAAAAAGCTCCAATTATTTTTTTGTGAAATAGAAATAAAATTTTCACTAATTCTTTTTTAAATAAATGACAACATAAAATTCTAACAGAAAGAGAATATACTTGATTAAACCTTATTTTTCCTTTGGAATGTACATGATTTGTTTTTCAAGATCCAATTTTGCCAAAAGGAACCATTACTTGTGTCTATCTTATTTAGTTTGAAGTTAAATATCTTAATTATATTTATCATTCATCCCAAGATTAATTGAATATTTTTTTTAACATTTGATCACATATGTTAGTTATCAACTTCACAAATTTGCTACCATCAATGTTGTAATGCATGTAAATGGCTTCACATATCCAAAAAAAAAAAAAAAAAAATCTTTGTAAATATCAATTAATTAGTTCAATTTTAAGCATTTATTGCTTTTTCCATTATTATCAACATTTTAAATCATTCAGCGGATTGATGAATGTACGTAATTTTCACTTTTTTCGTTAATTATCGAGTGTAACTATATTGCAATTAAGTACAATTTCTTGTATTTTAATTTTAGAATAATAGAGTTATTGTCCTTTTTATATTTAATAGATTTTTGGTTGAATCCAATTTTATTAATTGTATTTTTATTTTGTTGGATAGAAATAGTTTTTTTTTTTCTATATAGTTAAATAATCATACAACAAAACACAAAAGCAAAAACAAAAAGGGCAAAAATAGTCTATATCCAGCCGGCCAGCCCACTTGTCCTTCCCCCGCGGCATCCTTCAGAAACTCAGGAACCCTAACCCCTCCTTCCTGTTCTCCTCTCTCTCTCTCTCTCTCTCGCCTAGAAACCTTAAGACTTCAATTCAGTGGCGTTTAATTTGTCCAATCCATCGATTGAATCGAATTTGAATTGACAGTTGAATGGGGAAGAAGAAGAAGAGAGCTCAGACATCGAAGGTGTGGTGCTATTATTGCGATAGAGAGTTCGAGGACGAGAAGATTTTGGTGCAGCATCAGAAGGCCAAGCATTTCAAGTGCCATGTCTGCCATAAGAAGCTCTCCACCGCCGGCGGTATGCAAATCCACGTCCTCCAGGTCCATAAAGAAAACGTCAGCAAGTATGCATTACTATTCTCTTTATCGATCACAAAACACCGAAGTTGAAATTTGATAGTTGTGATATCTTTGGGCAGAAGTTTATCGCTTTTTACTTGGTGCAGCTTTCAGAAGTGGTTAAATTAGATGCTTTTAGCCAATTTTGTTGCAGTTTTGTAATGATTTTTTTTTTCATGTTTGTGATTTTGATATCTTGGTTGTTAAGGGGTTCGAATGCTGGTTGTTGTTAGTAGCTGATGGGGCTAGGTATGAATTTGAAGATGCTTTTTTTCCCTTTTTGGGCTAATTTTTTCAATTGTCTAAATGTGATTAATTGGAAAAGGATTAGTAAGTTTGAGCATGCCAAAGGCCATGAAAAAAAAAGTTTTAAATATGTGGAGTGGGACTCTAATGCTAGTATGAGCAATCTTGTGCATGGAAGCATTACATTTGTGGAATGTGTGAGAATTATATCAGGAAGTTTAAATTAGTTGCTATGTTTAATTATCTTTAGTGGATATTCTTGTGGTGTTGAAGTATTTGGAATTGCATTGGCCCTTATTCTGCTTGACAGGTTAATGAAGCAAAGTAGTAGATAAATTTTTTTTGTTGGTAAACTAGATAGTTTAAGCTTAAGAGGTGACTGGTTGAATGTCTACAATCTGTTGCAAGTTTATTAATGTAATGACCTCATACACTAATCTGGCTCATTAGGTTGAAATTGGTGGTCATATGTGTATATTGGTTCTTTGTTATGTCACTTGCTGCACTCACCATTTAATTCAGAATTAGTTCTTTTTAGAAGTTACACGTTCAAACCCAGTTTTTGAACCGAGGTTTACTGAATTAGCGATCATTTTTAGTTTAGTGAAGCTTGCAATATAAGCCTAGCTGGAAATATCATGCTTAAGGCCCGTATTTAGTGGATGTAAGATCTAGTATAGTGTTAAACCGGTGAAGTGAGAGATAAGCCAGAAAAATTGTTTTGAGGTGTTTGAAGGTGCGTGTTCTTAGTAATTAGGATGATGGTTGGTAATTTTTGGAAAAGTGAACAGACAAGAAGGTAATTGGCCGTTGTTGCGAAAGATCAGAAGCTTTTGTGCCTTGCATTGAGATCCAATTAAACCAGGTTGACAGTTACAATCACTTGTAACGTTACTATTATCAATTGAACAGGGTTGGAAAAGGTGGAGACAGTTGTGGTCAATAGCTTTTCTGTTAACGGGAGAGAAAAATATTACTTAGGTTCTCAAAAATAGCTACTCAAGCTTGTGTTTTGTTCAATGATATCTGCCTCAGAACAAGAACTATATGATCACCCCTTTCATTCAAGCTTACTTCGGTTCTCAAAAATAGCTACTCAAGCTTGTGTTTTGTTCAATGATATCCGCCTCAGAACAAGAACTATATGATCACCCCTCAGAACAGGAACTATAAAGGAAGATGAAATTGATAAAACATCACTGGGTGGAAAATGATGAGAATATAGGAATATACAAGTGCAAATATAGTGGGAAACAAGCACTTTATCATAGATTCACTCGCTTCTTGAATTTTATGATCACATCTTTCTGATGAAAATTATGGGAACTGCAATGAGATGAAGTGTTAGAAGATGATAGCTTGTGCCTGTATGGTAATCATTATAATCTGCTTCGTATCATGTGTAGAGTTTATTCTTCCTTAGGCAAGTCAGAGAATAGAAAATTCCTGAAATTGAGCAGATGTAGATTATCGAATCAAGAGTGGGATACTAGGTGGTGCACTCCATGCCTGGGTATTGGCATATATTTTTCCACTTTTCAACCGACAAAAAATGAGGAATTAGTTAGTCTAGTTGAAATTTGAATTGAGAGGCAAGCATGTAATATTGATTGCCCAATGCGAATTTCCTTTGCTCATTCATGTTCTCTCTTTGTTTATCACTCATTTATTATATCAATTTTTGGCTCTGCACTCACTTGTAGAGTGAGTACTAACATCACTGTTAAAGATCTAGAACTGAAGTGCTAAAACCTTTTTCTGTTTTTATTGGTGAAAGAATTTTTGCTTACAGCCAACAATATTTTGCAGGGTTCCGAATGCAAAACCTGGTAGGGAATCCACAGATATTGAAATATATGGAATGCAAGGAATTCCACCTGACATTCTGGCAGCTCATTATGGAGAAGAAGGTACTGTTGGTATATGATTAGTTGTAAAATGAATTGATGATTACAAATATGAAAGGGTTATAGTGCCATGGGAGTGTAAGTTAATACAATAATCATATGTACTTTAACTTTGGTAAGGGATGGATTAGTAGCAGACGTGTGTTATGGTTAATTGTAGATGTAGTGAAGATTAGAAACCTTCTTCTTCTTCTTGGTTCCCATTGAAACTTGAAAACAGAAATGCTTGAGGGCATTACATTGTCATAAGGAATTGTTGTTGACTTTTCGTATTCTCAATAAATCTTCAGTTCCTCTAATGTTTTTTGTGGTGGTTTAATGAGTGATTCCCTTACATTCCTTCTTTATATGCATTTTTCATGTTACAAAGCAGAGAATAGCCTTTTATCTTTTGTCATGTACTATGGGCAAATGCTGTTTATTTGGCCCTATGGAAAGATGTTAGGAGAAGCAAAATTGTTATGTTGGTCTTGCAAAAGCCTGCCATTCATCAAGTAGCATTTTCTTTTATTGCTCATTGTGCAGATTATGTTTTTGGTTACTGTTTCTGACTCCTGTTCATCTTGCAGATGATGAGGCACCAGCTAAAACTCCCAAGGTGGAAATTCTACCAACCCAGGTTGGTGGTGTGGTTCAGGGCTCATTAGGCGTGGGTTTTCCTCCTCAGTCTAGTGTTGGAGTGATGCCAACTCTGTATGTTTCTGTTATAACATTCACTGGAGTGTCTGTTGAAATATATGTCTTTGAAATAAATCTTTTAACTATTGTGCTAGAATTTAGTCTTATGTTCCTATATCTTACATAAACCTGTATCCATTCAAAATTATTTGCCGTCTTCTCATCACAGTAAGATTTTGGAGTAACAGCCCAAAGAGAATGGCAGACTGATACACTCGCCCTGCTTATTCTGTAATGACATTCATGTTGACCAAGTGCTGTAATACTGTATTTGTTACACAACATTCAATTGCACACCTACTATGCTTTGTGCTCGAGGAAATGCGATTTGTCCTACTTGTTCTTTTGTGGACAAGCGCTCCTCAACTTGTTTAATTAACTTTGTGCCCCATTGTAGTTAGATGAATCAAATTTATGCTCAACTATAAGCTCATTTTGTAGGCTATGCCAATCTTAAAGCACAGCTTGTTCAGTTAAACTTCTAGAACTTTTTCTTAGTGTTTTTACATACTAGGATAATGTGCAATAGATATACCTGCTAGAGAGGGAGGGAGGGAGGGAGAGAGGGGGAAGGGGAGGGGTAGAGGGAGGGAGGGAGGAAGGGGGGGTGGGAGAGAGAGAGAGAGAGGGAGGGAGGGCATGATTTATAGTAGATATGTGTACATAAATGTACCCACATAAATATAGTCAGCACTGACTTAGCTTTGAACCTGAACTCCAATGTAGAAATATTCGTCTCTTTTATCTAACCATATTAGGCGTCAGGGCTTGTGCTATCAAATTTGAAAATTTTTTATCAAGCCTAGCTTGAACTCCCTTAGATTTTGACAATTATCATTGGAAAATCAAGCCAAGTTTCAGCTTCACTTAGAACTCCATTTGACTACTATGAACGTTTGAGCTAAATAAAAGTTATTTAGATCTTTAACCTACCTCTGAAACTCATTTTCCTCTAGTTTCTAGCTCTATGGCTATCATTTTTCTGTATTTCTGAAATTTTTTCACGTTATGCATTCCATTTCTTACTTGTGTTAACTTTGCTGTATAATGCAGTTACAATCCTGCAGTACCAATCCCTCCTGCTGGTTGGCCAGTTGCACCACGCCCTCAACCTTGGTATCCACAACATTCAGCTGTGTCAGTTCCACCATCAGCACCATTGGGGTTGCCACCACAACCTTTGTTTCCAGTGCAGAATTTAAGGCCTCCCTTGCCGCCCACTGCACCACCAGGGCTTCAAGCATCTGTTCCCGTTGTGCCTCCAGGGCTTCCTGCTCCGCCACCTATTCCTGTATCTCAGCCATTATTCCCTGTTGTTCCAAGTAGCAATGTTCCTGCTCAAAATTCAGCATTTTCTGCACCCATGCTACCAACAAGTCTTCCTTTGAGCACTTTGACCGAAACAAAAAATTCTGTGGATGGATACTTGAACAATAATGCTTCTGTTACAAATACTTTTGCGACCCCTGGGATTCCAGGTTTGAGATAATCTCTATCTGTTTATTGCTCGCATTCGTGTTTATCTGGATTAAATTCTTAGTCAAAATCTACTACAAATACTTTTGCGACCTCTGGGATTCCAGGTTTGAGATAATCTCTTTCTGTTTATGGCTTGCATGCTTGGTTATCTGGATTAAATTCTTAGTCAAAATCTACTATTAGGTCTTCTTCTAAAATTGTTGACGAAATGTTTGTGGTCCTTCTATGTGCTAGCAATATGATATGTTCTTTTAGATTCTGGGATTTTGAGTATTATGGAGATTTTTGGGCATCCATCCTTGCAACTCAGGGAATCTACAATGTACCAGTTGTGCTGGTTTATAGGCTTTATCCTGATTTTTTGGACCATCTGTGGGTGAATTGTTGTGCAACATCTCCATGTAGTAGTTTATTTGTTCTTTCTGATAACGAATTTTGTAAAATAAATATATAATCTTTCTTGTTATTATGGTATTTTTGTTACTTGGCTATGTAGAGTTTTTCCTGGAATTGTGGTGGGTTATGCCAAATGGCTCTTCCAATACTGCGATGGTCATGTTGCCCCTCACTTCTGTCCATAGAAATTCATGCGAAATCTGTGAACAGGTTTTTGGAGTTTTTATTCCATATTGGGTCTTGCTTCCTTGGTCATTTGTTTAGTTGAATTTCTATATCAAGATGTTTGTCTTTTCTTTCACATTATCTGCAGCATCCATGCCCAGCTGTAATTAGAAAATAAATCATAGATTGTCTTGATAACAGATATTTGATTTGGATGTATTGATGCTATAATTTTCAGCTTTTTTTTTTTTTTTTAGGAGAGGAAGGGGGGGGGGGGTCATGCATGTATGCTTTAGGCTATTTTGATGACAGATTTTTTTGTCTTTTTCTGGTCTTTGTGATGCTTTAGGCTGTTTTAATTTGGTGTTTGATTTATTGTTTTTCCTTTGAATTGCAGCTGCAATGCCTGTGAATTCACATTCATATGCTTCTGGTCCAAATACTGGTGGCCCTTCCATTGGACCACCACCGGTAATTGCAAACAAAGCTCCAGCTAGTCAGCCAGCAGGAAATGAGGTCTACTTAGTTTGGGATGATGAAGCTATGTCCATGGTTAGCAGGCTTTGCTGTGCTGCTGTAGTTGTAGAATACACAATTCTCTCTTCTGTTGTTGCTTTGTTGGTGTAAACTCATTGACTTATAAATTTGTGTAGGAGGAAAGAAGGATGTCCTTGCTGAAATATCAGGTGCATGACGAGACTAGCCAGGTAAGTCATAACTACCCTGTACGTCCTTACTAAGATTCTTTCATACAGATGTGGACATGAGTTGCTCCCATATCCTGATGGGTATTTAGTGGTTGTTCAGATTCAGTTGTTAACACATTGTTTTCTAAAGGTATTTTTTTGTACTTCCTGCCCATCTTTATCCCCCTTAAAAATGAGAAAATTGCTGCATATTGGAGCAATTCTGTCGAGTGTGTATTTACTTTTCAATCCCATTGATTCATGGGCTGTATTTACCCTTTTTTGGGTAATTCTGAGCTTGGCAAGCAGTCCTACCAATTTTGTGGTCATCAAAGATTCAAGTAGGTATTTTCAATATCTTTGCTGATAATTAATAACTACCATTCTGACAAGCATGCTGTGATCTACTTGAGGAATCTTCGGCATAGCAGTGTACAACATTAAGAACAGCGTGTATGTATTTGTTCTTTAGAAATTTTAATTTGTTTATTTTATTACTCTCCCTATGCTTGATCATGAAGTGTGGGGTTTGGGTGGAAAGATTACCTCCACCCTACAGAGTTTTGCCCATTCATGTCAATGATACAAAATACTTAAGTGGCCGAACAGTGAATTCAAACTTGGCCCAGGTCAGCTTCTTTTGTAAAGTTCGGTATTCATTGCACCGAAGCTAGCTAAATTTATATGAGTGGTTCAGCATGTAATCTGTTTTGATGATGTTTCTGTACTGATTTTCTTTTTCCGGATAATGTGTTCCAGATGAGCTCAATTGATGCTGCAATTGATAGAAGGATATCAGAAAGCAGGCTTGCTGGTCGTATGGCATTTTAGGTTTGGTGGCCTAGTGTTAGAAGTTGGAGACCTTTCTGGTTGCAGCTCAAGAGTTAATCGAGTCTTAAATTAAGACTTGCTCGAGCACCTCAAGTGATTACTTCCTGCTCGGTCTAAAACTCTTTCTTTTCGTGTTGTATGCTTAGAAGTGAAGTGAGGTAGGATGATTCTTTTAACCTTTAGTTGAAAAGTTTCAAAAGATTCTTGTAACTGAGTTGGAAGGTTTTGTAAGGGGTCGGCGTTGTTTTGTAAATTGAGGATCTCAATATGATTTGAAGCAGATGCGATTTAATGTTATTTGGGGAATTCGTAGATCAGTTATGCTTTCTTTTTCAAATTGTACTATTTTGACCATTTCATTTGGGGTTGCGTATGGGATTCAGAACTGTATGTCGACTATCGGGTAGCTTGTGGCCCTCATCTTCTTCTGATTGAAATGCATCAAGCCTTCAATGCGGGTATAGAGTCAGAAGAATACTACTATCATGCACCAGGCCTTGCATTGCATGAATGATAAAACGATCCTTCCGAACTCTGTATCCACAATGAAGGCCTCTGATGCATCTTAATCAGGTCATGCGAGCGAAAGGGTTATAAACTACTCAGTAGTTTCGACACATGATCGCGTTATGTCATATCTGTAATCACCAACACAAACACACTGATTGCACTACTTTTGTCATATATATGCTTCCCACCAGGCAGCATTGGCAGGCAGCAGGCCCCTTGCTGCTCTCTTTTACAAGTTTAAACTTCTTAAATTATCGTCTTTGTATGAATTAACTATAAGGCAGCTAGCACAAACCATCGAACGTCTCGCCAGTTATAATATGAGAACCATTAAATGGGAAGCAAGGCTATCATCACTGCTCAAATGGTACGAATAGGAGGAGAATGAATGGTTAGAGTAAGGCAAACGTTCATAGAGAGAAATGAAATCAATTCCTTGCTAGACCAGTTCCACGAGAATACCATAACTTTTGTAGCATTATTTCAGCACGTATCTTTCCACCAGCTTTATGAATGTTAATATTTTTCAACCACAGACGATATTATGAAGTGGCAAATGCAGTACAATAAGAGTAAAGATTTTCGCTGAAATACAAAGTACAAGACGAAGGCATATATATGTACATAACACAGAACACGCGGATACACTACAACATGTTGCAGTTCCTCAACTGCTTGAGGAGGGGCCGAAGTACATACAGATGGGTGGATTAATCCTGAAGATTGATAGGACTGCTGAGGGAATAGTCCAAATACCATCACCACATATCAAACCTGAAGCAACAGCGCCTGCATAATCTTCAGCATCCTTCCTGTTTAGCCTCTCCCAGACAAACAATATTACGGTTCCAACAAACATGTCGATTGCAAAGTAGGCTCCAATATAAAATGGTACGGCCATTGCCATTGGTATAGGGATGAACTGTGACACCCTTTTAGGGGTGACATCCCTCAAGAAGTTTACAGCAACAGCCACAGCAAAGAAAAACAAGCAGAGTTCCAAGCAATGCTTGGGCAGTTCCGAAAAGCCTTGAATCCCCAAAATAGCCATTTCCCTATATATGATGGCATACGGTGCTTTGTATGGACTATCAGGAGAACCTATATCAAAGGCTCTCCAGAACAACCAAAATGTAAGCGGTGCAATGACACAGCCCATGGCTGTTCCAACTAACTGACTGACAAACATAGATCTGGCTGATGACAAAGTTAGATAGCCTGTCTTAAAATCTTGCATCAAATCAGCTGCAGTTGAGACAATGGACATCATAACTCCACAAGCTGCCAGCCCAGCGATAACGCCACCATTACTTCCAACCAGTGAAGCAAAAATGAAAAGGCCAATCTTGCCATATGTTGAAGCCAAGTTCCAATCTGTTAGCCCAGTCCCATAGGAATTGCAGAAGGCAAGGGCAGGAGCAATTATGTATGAGCAAAGGACCAAATACCATTTAAGCGGCGGAAAGATGATTGGAATTGTAGCAGTGGATATTGCAGCCAAGCCAACATATCCAGAGGCAGCAAACCAAAATGGAATCCTGTCCTTCAGGAATACTTCATCCCGCTTTTTCTCCTCTAGTAATCTTTTGGAAGTGTCACTATCTGTTCAAACATTAATACAGCATATAGGTACATAATATAATGGTAGTCAAGGAATGTGAACACACGTATGAATTTAGTACCGAATTGGGTAATCTCAGTGGGGTTTTTAGTCCTTAAAAGGGAAGGATGCCAGGAAAGAGTAGGAAGAATTGTTATTTCTTCAACTTTCTTTTTATACACTTGAACTTGCAATTGCAGAGTTCATTCCACCAAAAATTTAACAGGCAACAAAAAAGGGTAGTAATAAATGTCAAAAGAAAATGACACAGCAATATAAATGAGATAAAATAAATAATCATTGACCACCACTCCTTACCTAAAACCTCTTTGAAAATGGGAAGGTCCTTTTGTCTAGTGCTAATTTTGCACGTTTCCTTAAATGTGATGGCAATTATTTTAATTAAATTGTAAAGCCCATCACCCAAAATTAGTGAAATAGCAACGAAGACCTGCAATCATAATACGCGCATGAGATTGTCACACCAAAAAATCCAATTTAACACGCATGAAAAAAATCTCTCCCAGTTGAGATAGGAAATTCTGCTGCATATCATAATCAAAATGGGCTGTCTGACAATGATGTGAAGTATTAAATAGCTTGATCACTGGCTTTATCAAAAGGAAAAATAAGGGGGTTTTTGAAAATTGAATTTTTGCCTCTGTAAAATTTCATTCTTTCTCCATGGATGAAAGCATACACAATACCCAACTTCTATTTTTTTTTTAACAGAACTCCTCTAATGGATCAAAGAAGCTCATAGTGTCTCACTCTGCCAAGTAAATTTATGTTCACTGCTTTTGTGGTACCATCCCCAAGTCCTCATGAAGCCTTAAGAAGTCAGAGACACATACTTCCCCCATGCAAAGCTACCCATTTGATGCTCTTAACAGTATATGTGATTAGTGGTTACAACATACCGGTAATTGAGGTGGGTAATAGCCCACCAATTTGTTGTAGCCTTTTCTTTCCCCTTTTTTTTTTTGGTTTTTCGAGAAATTTTTGGATTCAGCAGCTAGCAACTAAGGGAAAAAAAATATAAATGATCTGAAGTTGCGTAAAGTGTATCTAGTTTTTTTTTTAAAAAATTTAAAATAAATAAAATTTTTCTAGGGAATTTTAAAATAAATAACTATCATCTTGTTGTACGTTGTTCATTAACTAAATACTTGAAGAATTTTTAGTCAAGCTTGTTCAATATTTGGCCGTTTATTGGCTCAAATCACAAATGAGCTCTTCCAGTTGGGCCTTGATCATTTCCTGTCTAACCCACCAAATGGTATGCGTGCGTTTGAGCAATCGAGTCAGGATGCTAAAAAGACATGCCCAGCCCAGCCTAGCCTAACATTGACCCAACCGCCATTTCTCCATCTTCAAACTTCAAGCCGTTCCACCAAGAAAAAAGGGCGAGAAACAAAGGACCCAGAAAAGTTTCCACTTTCCTCGGTGAAGCTGCATTTCTATGCTTAACACGATTGCATTTTTACCACTTCAGGTATGGATTGAAGCCAATTATATTATAACAAACGTAGAATGAATGCAAAAGGCGACCCTTTTCTTCTTCTTCTCCCATAAATAAAGTTCATTACTTTGAACAAGCATTTGCATACCACTTGTTCGACGAAATTCCCAGTCAAATTTAGTGTATATGCAAGATACTTGAAAAAGCCCTTAATTCCATTAGTGGACAGTAGTGAAGAAGGATAAGCTTAATTCAATTTGGTTCACACTCTTTTTTTTATTATTGAATTTGCTGCAGGAATGGAACCGGCTCATGATAAAGATAAATCAGAGAACGAGAAAAGTGGAGCAGAGCTAAATGGTTTGCTGGAAATTCTACCCCCAGTTGAGTTCTGTTGTGTTTATGGTTCCACTCTCCATCCAAACAATCTCGACAAGGTTTTCACTTCTTCCCTTTCTCCACCATGTTTTGCAGCAATGATCACTTGAATACTCTTGTGCAACATTTTCAGGTTTCTTTCATTAACTTGTGTGTTTCTTTGTTTAATTTTGTTTGGTTGTGCAGAACTGATGATAGATTGCATTATTGGTGTGTCTGATCCTGAGAAATGGCATTCTGAGGTATGCAGTTGGATTGCTTTGTGCTGCATCTTTATTTATATTGCTTTATGTCTCTCATGAACTCGGTGAACCATGCTGATTTGTCTACTCCCTGTTTTAAATGAAGAACTTGAAGATGAATAGGAATCACTATGCTTCATGGTTGGTGCACTTCGGTGGTGCAAGGCTGGTGCTACTCTTGCTTGATTTTTGACTAAGATTTACTTATTTAATTTGGTTTAAGTTGAATTATATAAATGATTTCGATCATATGATAATAGATTGCTGGCGTAGCTGATGATATTGGCGTTGGCGTGCACTTCAATCCATTTGTTTCGTTGAATGATAAGGTATCTACCATTTCAAATGAATGCGTATATTTTTCTTTTGTCCGTCGAAAACATATAGAGTGTATGGTTTTGGTTGATGATATGAGCTGGCATGTGTCTCTTTTTGTGTGCTTTTAGTGCGAGGAATTGAACACACCAACAACTCTGTGAAGTTCAAGTGGTTGTTGACTTACATTTACATGGGTTCTATCAATGCCTTGCGGTATATCTTTCTTGTAATTTTACCTTTAACTGATTTTGGCAGATGTATAAGTATGGAGTTGTTAGAATGGATGACTTGATTAACGACATTCTGGGATGGCAGAGATTCTACCTTTGTGGCCGCTTGCAAAAACCTGTATGTTTTATTTCAAAGTGCTCCAATTTTCAATGAATTGCTTTTTCTGGTAGGACTTGGCTTGTGAAGTTTTCATGGAAATGTTTTCCATTATACTTAAATTTAGAAAATGTCCATTTGCATTTCATCTTTAAATGCTTAATAAGTTGCACTGAAGCTTATATCACATTCGAATATATCATTTTGCTTGTAGGTAAATATCATCATGGATAGTTTGGATCTTGAAAATCTGAATCACATTAATCTGAGGGCTGCAACTTCTGCTGCTCTTCTCCTTTTGCCATCCAAGTTTACAGAGGTTTGCTGGTTTGTGATGTTTTATGTTTGATTCATAAACTTATCTTCTGTCTTCTAAAAATTGGCATGTTTTGCAGGAGGATCTATATGCCAAAATATGTAGCCTATCATATATGGGCGACTTAAGAATGCTCTTTGCTGAAGACAAAAATAAAGTAAGCTGATTGAAACTCTGGGAGATTTGCAGTAGATATGGCTTTTGGTAGCACAAGAAAAGCTCTATCTTCTCCTTCTACACGTCTTTTGTCACATGGAATTATCAACAGCTTACAGATCCTTTCTTTTCTTGTTGGTTTTATCATACAAGATGGACATGGCTTCTGTTTCTGGCACCTATTTTGACAAAGTTTAAACATATATCTTTCCTCGATTCTTAATCAAATCAATAGTTTTCTCCAATGTTTTATTTTGTGTGCTATATCACCAACTAGGTACTAGTTTAAGAAACAGCAGACTTTGGCTCTCCTGATGGCATTAAGTTGTGCACTTCTTACAATATTTTCCCCTAACAAGTAGGGCTGGATCCTGAAATCCTTGTTGGTGTTCTGAACGATCATTGGCAGCGTCCTTGGTATTTAGACCATGTAAGTCGAGTTATTAAGGGCTTCTGTGTAAGGTACCAATCATAGGAGTGGATCAAATATAGCGATTCTTATAAGCCAGTTGATACTTTATCTAGTTATAGCATCAGCTGTCAAACTGATTTAAATTTTGTCTTCAAGTGATGTTCCTTTCTTAACAGTAGGACTGATTAGACTTGACAGGCTGGGGTCCACTTGTTCTTGTGGTTGAGTTGGAGGTCAGGTTTATGCCCGCCTCCATTCCTGAAATTCTCTAAGTTCTTGAAAAAGTGCCAGAGAACCATGCCTAAAGCTCCACCATCAAAGGTGTTATTCCCTGAAATAAATTTTTAGAAATGACTTTTATATGGCATAGCTGTAAGCTTGAGAAGATTTAGGGCGATGCTGGTTCTTTTGTTTATTTGAGTATCATCATTCTATTTAACAGAAATGCCAATCTGTCCACAGGTGAAAAAGATTGTCCAAGGGCAGTTCAGTTTGTTTCATAGAATGTATAACCCTTTCCTTGAAGAATATGCAGCCAAGGACTTGTTGAGACTTTCATCTTCTGGTGATGCTCAAGTAACTATATCTCAGGTAGGTATGTCTAAATTTTTTAGCTAGCTACATGAATTTAACTCATTCTTCCAGTTCTTGTTATCTTTCAATTCAATTTTTTTTGTTAAACATTTAAACTCAACTCAATTTTCCCTCACCTATCATTTCTGTGATCAAGTTATGTCCTCTAGCTTGCCAAAAATATTGGCTTGGACAATCAGTAGTCGGGACCTCTTCACTGATTACTTTGTAATTGAATGCTGTATGACTAGCATCATTGTGTTTTCTTTGAAAAGGTCAAATCTTATTGATGTTATCTGGCATGTAGTACACTTTTCTGTTTGTTCTTTGAAATGGAACACTTTTTGTCATCTATGTTAAGCATTCAATTTATCAAGTTTAAATGACTGTCGACTGTCAGCTGCTTCTCACTTGTCTGAGCTTCTAAGGGAAACTTCTGATTTCTCAGATTTTCTTTATTGAGGCTATATTAGGTTTCATGTGATTTAAAGTACTCTAAGTTGGTGTACTTTTCTCTAGAGTCTGTTTACAAGATTAGTTACGTCTGTATCGGATATTCTCTACTTGTGACCAGTGAAATTTGATACTACGTAGTCTGAAAGTGCATGTTTATAGTCAAACCTGGTCTCAAGATCTGATATTTATTATGTATTGAATTTGAAATTCAACTTTCGCACATATGTCATGGATCCAATAGTAATAGTGTATACACTATCAGTGTATATAAGATTTACTCTTTTTCTAATATATACTTTGAACTGTTAAAATAAGGATTGTGGGTCATCTGCTGCTTCAAAACTTGTCTCTTCTCTTCCACCACCAATCAGAAGTCAAATGGGGATAAAACTTGGAGAGAAGAAAATACTGGATGAATTGGGTATGGACCTTCATTCATTCATTTGTTTAGTTGGTCTTGGTATGATGTTACTTATTTTATGGATTAATGTGTCACATGCTCTACAAGTTGTTGATTTGGACCTCCACGTGGCCTTTTGTGTATACAACTAAGGTATATGGCATTTGGTTTGTAGGTCGAGTTAAACAAGAAGTTGTAATTGGTTCAAAAGAAGAGGCTGCACAGTGTATGCAGAAGCTTCTTAGGAACAAAGTTATGATTTCAAGTGCAAGGCAGGCTGTTGCTGGCCTATTGACAGTTGGTGTATTTGGCGGAGCTCGATATGTTAGTAAAAAAATGCAGAAGGCCTGGAAATCTTAGATATAATCTCATTCAGAGAACCAAGGAGTTGAAGGGGCTCTACCATTTGTGAAGACC